TACGCATTTTGTGAACACTCAAATATGAGTGTTTCATTTATTTAATTTCTGCAACCCCACACGCTTTATTCTTCGTGTCCCATGTGCTCTATCAGCATTCTTTGAGAAGCTTCAGGACAAGCTTTCTCAATTGCGCGAGGCTCGTGAAGCGCTTGATTCACTACGCGCAGATGCGGCAGAACGACGTCGTCAGGAAGAAGCAGAAGCTGCACGTCTTCGGCAGCTGCAGTTGATACAGAGACTGGAGGTGATGCGACAACAGAAACGAGTGAGTAAATAGACAAAAATCACCAGACATCCAGCTTGTATAACTATTTAGTTACATTTTCTGGTTCATTTAGTCCTCGATTCGATTAGCTCTAAGAATATGAATGGGATTTATGTGTTCTACTAGAGAAAAGTCCCTCTTGTCTCTTTAACGAGTTGTAGCTTGGTGCTGAGAATAGCAAGATTCACTAACGATGCCGAAGAAACGTTTGAGAATCTACCAAATCCACAGTCCAACGCTTGAAAATATGATAACCACTATAACAGAGAACTTCGGTCAAGGTGCGTAAACTAATTCCCTCTGACAACACGACCAAGTTGCGCAAACGAGGTCAGGCCACATCTATACATCGAAAGGAGACTGTGACCTAGATAGTGGCCACAGCATCTTGTTCTTCGTTTCTATTAGTCTTTCTAATTTTAACAAAAGCACGTCCTTGCTATGCCACGTTTAGCTTAGAGCGTTGATAACTTTTAGTTCCAATTATCGGGTTGTACTTTTAGTAATTCACTCTCATTTTCTGTTTCAACTTTCCATATTTCTCTTGTGCAGGAGTTTCTTGAATATAAACGACTTATGGTCTACGAACAGACTATGCAATATCAGCAGCAGTATCAGGCTCAACCGAGTGCTGGATATCAACCGAATGAGTATTCAGCTGGTTGCCAAGACCCACAGATCGGCCAGCTTCCCTTGACTCACCACGCGGCTCCTCTATCTGACTACCCAAATCTTCCTGGCCTTGCCACAGCGGGACCTGTAATGGCTTATCAGATCCCTTTTCAAGAAGCTAATGCTCATTCTGTGGTAAAAGCGGCAGCTGCGACTACGAACTATGCCGAATGTCATCCTATCGGATATCCATCCCCAGCATATCAGACAATTCCTGGTGTACAGGATTCATATAATCTTAGGCGCAAGTCCCTGCCATTATTATCATTGCAATTGTTATTTTTATGAATCACTTTTTAAGCTAATAGTGCTTATTTATTATTTATATGTATGAAACAAAATACCCTGCGCTTTACTGCATCTGATCCATCAGACAAATTTTGTCTTTTTATCCGACTTTGCAACTAATT